ATTGGCATATGAATTAGGATCCTGTTTTGTACTACTTTCATTGTAATCCTCTGCCTATACATTTCTTCCACTGCAGTTCATCTGAGCTATGATGATCTATGATGGCTAGGGGCCAAAGTGTCAACTGTAATGGTCGTCAAGTCATGGTACTTATTGGGAACCTTACTTTGTAGGTGGTTGGCTTGTTGTCCCAGGATGAGTTGAAAATTGAATAATCAAATATTTTCAAGGATGAACCAGCCTTGATTGCTTCCCTAGTAAGATGAAGGAAAGGCCCTGATTTTCATTAGCATGTGGCAGTGGCTGGCCCAAAAGAGTAGAATGTTTGTGGTTTCTCCCATACTGGAAATTGGGTCCCGAGTGTATTTGTCTAAGTGTGAGAGTTGGAGATGGTCTGAAAGCATCCAGTAGTTCCCCTGTAAACTAAAAGATCACACACTAATACTGGTGCTACTTATATGGAAGTTGAAGTTGCTGAGTATGATGACCCTTGAGGTTCCAATACATTGCTGGCCAGCAGATCCATTATGTTCCTCCAGGAAGTTTCCAGGATTTTCATCTGAAGAGTCCAGACCACCAAGAGGCCTAGATTTTTTTATTTTTGTCCTTTGCCTCACAGATCAGATAGGTGCACTCAAATGTTACTGTTTCTGCGGTGCATTTTCCCCTGCATCTGAGGTTGGAGGGATTAGGACAGCTATTCCACCTACTTATTTCTTCTTTCTAACTCATTATTGGATCTTTCTTGGCTTTCAATATATTGTAATTACTACATAAGGATTGGATGTGCTAGGGTAGGGTTGGAAGTGACATTGAACCAGGTCTGTGGTGCAGGCAAGGTCAGGTTTCAAGGATCAGATCTTGAATGGTGTTTGTTTTTGTTGATGGATGACCTTGTATTCATCAGCAGAAGCCTGACTTTCTCTCAGTTTCTCTCTGTCTCCATCCCAGTGACAGCAGGAATTGGTAAAGTAGGAACAGTTGGTTTCCAGATTTTTCAGTAGGCCTTGTATTCCAGTTCTTAAAATTCTGAGTGTTTGACGTTGATGTGCTGGCCTCTCATGGAAAAGGTTTGCATGGTGGAATTGATCTATGGAACCAAGCACAAAAATGTGCAAAGTTTGTATGTGGAATTGTTCCAGCTGGTGAATAGCCTGGTTAATTTGGGCTGCCTCCAGCGTGAAACAGTCCAGAAGCTGAAGTTGATACAGAATGCGTGCAGTTGCCTACCTATTAAATGGTGCTTCACAATAAGTGTACATACAGCAACACTGCTGCTCAATCGCCTAGTTTCCTTTTGGCTTCCATGTTGTATTTAAGTTATTTAACATGTAAAGCCCTAAATGTAATGGAACTTGGCCATCTGAGAAACCAGTATGTCTATGTTATTACTGCAGCTGTCATCTATAATGAAGCATGAGTGAGATACCGCTTGGTTTAAGTGGGTGGAAACTACTGATGTGGCATTCTGTTACTGGTCTTCTCTGGAAGTTATTTTACCTCTAGATCCACTGGAGCCTGGTTTTGTTTAACCTTCTAGGTGTGCTGCAAATCTCTTAGTGTGTCAGGTTTTTAGCTCAACAGGGGACATGAGCCCAGGATCCTTGTCTGATGCCTTTTTAATCTAATGGTTTGGTGTATACTTAGTTGCCAGTTCCATTGATTGAGTGCTCTGCAAGACGAGAAAGGATTTGGCTCTGTTGTGGTTGAGGCAGTTTTGGTTCCCAAGCAGCCTGAACCTGTCAATCTGCCAACCAAGGATCTGCTGGTGCAGGATGAAGGGACGATTCTGTACCCACATCTGAATTCCCTTCATCTCACAGTTGGGCTGCTGGATGGATATTGAAAGTAGAGCATTCATGCTCTTTACCCATCCAGAATATTTTAGTGAACAGTAGAAAGTCTCTGCGAGGTGCTCACCTGGTGAAATGGACAAGGTTTTCTTGCTGGTGTCATCAGACGTCCCTGATTCCACAAGAAACTTTGGTGCTAGCGATGTTAGTCTACTTTCTGGGCTTGAAGCAGAGTAACCTGTTTCTCAGCTCAGTGAAAGTCAATCTGGTAGTTCTTTCTGCACACCATCCACCTGTAGAAGGTTACAGTGTCTTTTCTCATCCAACTATAATCAGATTTTGAAGAGCCTGGTTAAGGTGTTTCCAACTGTTTAAAAATACAGTTCCACAATGGGACCTTAACTTAGTACTTTTGGCCCTGATTGGGCCACTGTTTGAGCTGATGGCAATTTGTTCCCTGTTACTTTTCAATGAAAACATCCTTTCTGGTTGCCTTTACATCTCTGAGGATGGTAGAGGGAGATCCAAGCATTGATGGTGGTCCCTCCTTATACTGTTTGTTACCTAGACAAGGTGTCTGTAAGGGCACATCCTAAGTTCTGGGTTCCATGTATTCCATGATTCCACAACTGTGGTTGCCTCTTAATTTACTCTTTCCCACAGAGTTGTGCTGCAAATGTAAACTTTATTTTTTAAATAAAATTCTGTTCAACCCTGGAGGACAGAAATTAAAAAATGTTTAAAATAAAACCTTGAACAGAGTGCAAACCAATGAAATGACCTCTGCAGAGTACCTGAAATAGTAGCTCTTAAGAGGAGTGAACCCAGTTAAGGCTCTGTGGACTTCATGATGCATGGGACTTGGCATTTTTCAAGGTTTTATAGAACCTGGCATTTTGGCCACAGAATTTGCCATTTTGATCCAACAAGACATCCAGCCTTTATGTGTCTATCTTATCTCCCTGCCCTGCAGTTGCCTCTTGCACTTCAGTTTTCCCTGCCTAAAAGGTAATAAATTGGGTTGTAGTGCATATTTCCTGGTGGAGCTGTGCAACAGGGGTCAGGGAGTTAGGGCTAGAGTCCAGCTTGTAGTTAGGGAGTGTAGGATCCAGAAATGTAGATTGGTGAACTAGGCTGTCTATAGAAAAGCAGAGTGACTGTGGCCCCAGGGAAATGAGGTGCTGAATCTGGATACAAATTATCCCCTTCCCTGGAATGCTTAAAAGGGAAGAAGTTTCTTTTTGTCAAGCCGCCTGGACAACATCTTGGGAACAGTGGCCTGGGAATTGTAGCTGGCCTGCTTGGAGGTCATAGCAAAAATTCCCATTTTTGAAAATAATCGCTGACATATTTTATCGGTATTTTTAATTACGAATCATGGGTGAGGGTGTCTGTGAATGGGAATTAAGGGTTACAGTACTCTTCTCTCTCAGTGAATATTCAGCCATAATTGAGATCAGAGGCACTCAAGCTGAAGCTGTCTCAGTATAAATGAGAGGGAGCATTCTCAGAGGGCTTTTGTTTTGGAATTTGCTTCCCACTTCGGTCCGCCAGAGTCCAAGTTTGTTAACATTGTGGGTGCGCTGCAAAACCATCTTCTGTCTCTTTTTTGATGTCAGGGATGGAGTAGACTGCAGGGAATATGATAAGGGCAGTCCTTTCATTATTTAGTTATTTTAATGTTTGGGATAGGCTTCTAAAAGGACCTTGAATTGCATTTTAGAAATTTAAATAAATAAAAAGAGGTGGTAGAATAAATTAATGCTCTTAAAGAATTTACAGGTTATTGCTGCAGAATTTAGTCCATTGTGTTGCAGCGTACACAGGGCCCTGAATTTATCCTCTATTTTAAACAGTGTCCAAGACATTTTATAACTATTGTTTAAATGACTCTGCAAATTAAAAATTTCCTAGTTTCCCAAGTGGTGTGTGTCAGCATAATTTGAAAAGTTCCCTTTGTCGTATTCATAGACTTTTGAAGCACTACGTTGTGGCAGCTATGTCCATAATTTAAAAAAAATACATATTCAACATGAGGAAAATTTGTTTTAACAGAGACAGCTTTCTGGTATCAGCCTGTTCAAGAATGTTAATGAAGATTTTTTTTAAGTGTCTTATCTTGGAAAGAGCTGTGGTCTAGTGTTCAGAATTGAAGACTTGCCTACATTAGGAAATTGTAGGGGAGAAAAAAAATCTCAGTGGTATTACCACTAGGTCAGCATCAGTAGGCGAGCTGGTATAGAGGTTTCAGCAACTGGACCCATTTTAACCAACTTGTCAATTAAACCTGCTTTTTAGCAAGTTGAACATAACAGTAATATGTCAGAATCCACAGTACCTCATCTGTGTTAGCACTTCTGCTTGAAACTAGTTTAGTTTTAAAATATTGTTTTCCAAGTATTCTGCCTAGAGCTGGGCAAAAATAGATTTTTGATTCGCTGGTAGTTCTGAAAAATAAAAATAAATCTTTCAGCTTGACCCAAAAAACAAAATTCAGAAAAAATTTAGGCAAATCAAAAAAGTCAGTTTTGGAACACTTTATTCATCTTGAAATGTTTTGTTTTCAGGCATGTTTAAAGGGCTAAATTCAGAAAATGGGGGAAGTGGTTTGGCCCTACTTTTAAATTTTAGCCCAGTTAGGACATTCACCTAGAATGTAGGAAACCTGGTTACACTTCTCTCCTCTGCTTGTTATGGAGCAGCTCTAATTCCACCTGAATGTCTATTCTTTTATTGTGATTCTGCAATATTTTCCATTCATTTACATTTATGTTTTGTCCCTTTCTGCTGTGTGAAAGACTCTCTCAATTCAGGAGAATTGAAATGATTAAATTGATTGTACACAAAGATCTCTCATGGCATTGACTAGAGAAACCAGACAACTATATTTTCTTCTAATCTCTTTTCAATTATAATTTTAGATGTTACTTGTAAAAGTGGGAGGTAAACAATTTCTCTAACACATGTTTTAGTTGGTCACTTTAATGTGTCTCTGTACCACAACTTTCCCATTTGTAAAATGGGGTGTAATAATACTTTTTACTCACCTTTGTGCACTTTAAGATCTCTGGATTAATGCTGCTGTATATGTACAAAGTATTATTTTATCTGGTGTTATTTATTTTATGGCCTTGGAAATGGAGGTCAACTGGTGCAAATACCATGAGGATGTAAATATTACACTAAAATCTTGAATTGTTTTTCTAGGAGGAGAGACTTCAGCATGCAAACCTTCATCTGTTCGGCTTGCACCGTCATTTTCATTCCATGCTGCTGGCCTTCAGATGGCTGGACAGATGTCCCATTCACATCAGCAGTACAGCGATCGTCGGCAGCAGAACATAAATGACCAACAGGTTTCTGCCTTATCCTACACTGACCAGATTCAACAACCTCTAACCAACCAAGTACGTGATATCAGGAGAGAGACTTTTCAGTTTTGAGATACATGCTTTCTTCCCTAAATATTTAAATATTTTGGGACACTTTACCCATGACTTTTTTTTTTAGATAGAAATATCTATGATTACAAGGTTCACATCTAATGCATCTAGATCAAAACTTTGATATTTTTTTTTTTTTTTTTTTTAGTTGAGAAATACTATTACTCCTTTGTAACAGGCTTCAAGAGACCATCTTTTGGCAGTTAATAAATACTTGCCTTATTTGTAAAAGGAATTATTCTATTCTAACCATTCTTGACAAGGAAAGGAAGTAAAGTAATCTGAGGGGAATTTATGGCAATTAAAGATCAGTCTAATGGTAATCATGAAAAATGTAAATTGAAGTCCAAGTTTGACTGCTTTATTTTTTTTAAAGAGGGAGACTGTTATAGTGGAGAATTTTATAGGTAACTTTGGATTGGAAAGTTATTGTACAGAACTTTATAAAGATCTTGATTTCAAAACAATAATACAAATTTTATATTATCACTTGGACTCTTTCACTGCTCCTCTCCCACATCAGAGTTCTGTATTCTCATATATTAGCTCTTATCTTGGATAGGTGAAGTGAGCATAGTTGGGGAGTAGGAGGACTCCAGCTGGGTACTGTCTGGCTGACATACTTTCCCTAGTGTCATTGGACTATGACAGCAGCTCCCCACCTATGAGGGCTAGATTATCCCCTTGCTGTCCCTGAGAGCATTCCTCTGTAGTTCCCCCCTTCTTAAAAGCAGCAGGGAAGCTGACAGCCTGCTTAAAGGGGACGGCTTAGCAACTGCTCCCTGCTTACACCCAGATTGACTGACTTTGGATTTAGGGAGTCTTTAAATTCTGCCTTCAAAGCATACAGGATAGTAAAATGAGCCCAACATAAGAGGAGGGAATGCTGCTGCTGTGCCCTGGTGCAAATCATCCCACCCCCATCTAAGCCACCTTGGATGTGCTGCAATACTATCATGAGAGCCTTTACCAGGGCTCCCAAGTGTGTTGCTCTGTGGAAAAGCAAGATGAGGGAAGGGACCACAGAAGAAGAGGAAGAGATTAGAGAAGATGAGTGTGATCAGGATAAGCTCTAAGAGATGCAGGATCTTCCGGCATGTAGGGGGGAAAGGGAAGTTCAGGCTGTTCAAGTGGAAGGACTTATGAGACTTACCTTCCAGGATTGCTCAGCTCCTGAAAATTGGAAATGGAAGAGCCAGGTGATCTGAAACCCAGCGATCCCATCCTGCCTAGTTCATATAGGTCCCAGAAAACCCCATATGTTAAAAACAAGACATGGTGGCTGAAGAGTAGGAATCTTCATTAAGAAGTTGCCTGCAGACAGGCTTGTGAAGATCCTGTATCCGCCAACAGAGGAAAAAATGCCAAGATCTGACTGTCCATCAGTGGATATAGCCACCTCAAGAGTGGCAAAGGGGGTGATAGTACCTACCAGAAGGCACGTTTTCCTTTTAAAACTGCTGCTTAAGAGAGAGGTCAATCTGCTTTTAAAGGAGCATTTAGCTCAGGAACCCTGCAGGGGACCCTGTATGTGATTTATCCTTCTAGGGTAATATTTGGGTGAATGCACAGATTTTTCATGTTCTCTAACACGAAGGATAAACAGATGGTGATGGCTGAAATGTTACCCTTGTTGGGAGCTGCAGTGTTTTTCATGGCAGGTGCCACATACAGCATGACCAGGACCACCTTAGGAGCCAGGGTGATCTTCATAAAAGTAAAGAGGTCCCTGAGGGCTGAAGCAGTGGTCAACTGATTAGATAGCCAAGGCCAGCCTAGCTCCTCTACCCTTTAGGAGAGCAATCCTGCTTGGCAAAGAGCTTCAGAAGCTGTAGAAGTCTTTCACAGATAGGAAAAAACGAGTCTTCCCACAGTACAGCTCCTGCAGACACTGGTACAAATCTCAACCTTGGTGGGCTTTTGCCTCTCTAAACCTATCCCCATCAACCAGGGAAAAGATTATCTTTGGCAGGCTTCTTTTTGAGGAAAAAAATCTAATTACTTTTGTACCCACAGAGAAGCGCACAGGAGCCCCAGGCAATCAGCATGAAGGTATGCAGACGTGTACCGCATCTTTGCCACTTGCTAAATACATAGGTTAACACCACTTCGGATCATTGGGTATTGCATGCAGTACCCTGACACTTTTGAGGAGAGTACCACTTCAAAAGCTTTGCTTGCTTAGTCACCTTGCTCCAGTGCCAAAAAGAGGCAGGGTGTACAAGACTGTAGACACCCTGCTGAATTTGTAGCAAATCCCCAAAAATCATTCAATTTTCCTAGATTTTAGTGGGAACAAGGGACCTATTCCACATACTTCACATTTCCCAAGACTAGCGGTGGACGGTGCCCAGTTTTAGACCTGCGTTTGACACTAGTGTGACTGCTGTTGGGATACTGTGTCCCTTTCTGGGATGTACAGTTCAAGAATGATATTGATAAATTGGAGACAGCTCAGATAGTAGCCAGGGAATGATTAAAGGATTGGAAAATATCCATTATAATGATAAACAGGTTGAGCTCTTTGAGGCTATCTGAACATAGAGAAAGTTAAGGGGTGACTTGATCACCGTCCATAACTACCTACATAGCAAATAAAAATTTGATGCTAAAGAACTCTTCAGCCTAGCAGATAAAACTATTACAAATAAAAATGACTGGAAGCTGTAGCTAGACAAATTCAGACTAAAATAAGGCACTGATGTTTAACAGTAAGGGTAATTAACCATTGGAACAATTTTACCAAGGGATGTGGTGGATTCTCCATCACTGGAAATTTTAAAGTCAAGATTGCATGTTTTTCTAAAAGATGTGGTTTAGTTCAAACAGGAATTAATTCAGGGAAGTTCTATGGCCTGTGTTATACAGGAGGTCAGACTAGATTATCACAATCATTCCGTCTGGTCTTAATCTGTGGACCTATGAAAATAAATTCTTCATTTCAGGGCTAAAGAAAGATCAAATCTGAAATTAGGGATTCAGTCAGACAATTCAGGAATTTGCCTGTTCCCTGGATCTTCAGGATGCCTTTCTATGCATCCCAATTTGGCATCACATCGATGAATCCTATTTTACACAATATTTGGGGCATTTCTGGCAATATCAAGCTCTCCCAAAATAGGACCTAGATATGTACTGAGACTGCGATGAATTTCCTGTGACCCAAAGCAGGCTCCAGTATGTAGAGCCAAGGTAGGATCATCAACAGGGAGTTTCCTCTCACAGTGTTAGCAGCTGGTCTGTGTGTGAGCCCAGTTAGCACACAAGCAGATAAAACCTTAATTCAGGACAGCTGTCTGAAGCAGCAACACCAATTGCCAGCCCTGCTGCAACTGCAGGTAGTGTTCTCCTGGGATTACCTATGGATGCTGGAGTCTATGGCAGCGTGCTTGACAATAGTTCCCTGGACTGACTTCCAAATAAGAGTGCTACCATGTTTTCTGCTCTCAAACTGAGCAGAATCAAAGAACTCCAGGCTATATCAACTGCTCTCTGCATTCAGAATGGCTCTAAGGTGGTGGCTAGACAACACAAATCAGAAGGGTTGCTCCCTGGGTTGTCCCTAATAATTGGCTGATTAAGGCTGGAAGCTTGCTAGGATGGGGACGCCAACTAAGAAAGTCAGTGGCTCAAGGGAAATCGTCCACAAAGGAAAAGAGCTTGTAAGTCAGCCACCTCAAAATTAAGGCTTAAGACTCACCTTTCTCCACTAACATACTGTCTATGATCACAGTCTGGAGTTCCCCTCATCTAGTTCTAGCTTAGATCCACTCCAACTTGGCTTCCGCCCCTTGCATTCCACTGAAATGGCTCTCGTCGAAGTCTCTAATGACTTCTATCTAGCCAAAGCTCAGAGTCAGTACTCCATCCTTATCCTCCTTTACCTGTCAGCCACTTTCAACATAATCAGCCATGCACTTCTTGAAATCTTCTCCTCCCTTGTCTTTTTGTGACTGTCCTCTCCTGGTTCCCCCTCATCTCTATTCTCTCCTTTTGGATGTCCTTTGGAGGATCCTCCTTATCACCCTCTAGTTTTCTGAGTGCGTTCCACAGGATTCTGTCCTTGGTCCCCTTGTCTTCTCCCTATACCTCATCTCTAAATAATCTCATCCTAAAACACAAATTCCGCTATCATCTCTGAGCTGATGACTCTCGTATCTGCCTCTCTACTCCAGACCTGTCATCTTCTGTCCAGATCTCTGTCTGTCTGTGTCTCTCTCTCTCTCTCTCTCTCTGACATCTCCTTGTGGATGTCTAGACCTCATCTCAAGCTCAACTTGGCTAAAATAGAGCTTGTATTTTTTCCCTCCAAGCCCTCCCTACTACCTCCTTTCTTGATCACTGCAGACAACACCACCATCCTGTCTGTCACCCAGGCCTGTAACGTGGGTGTTATCTTTGAGTTGGACCTCTTTAGGTCCTCACGTTAAGGCTAAATCTTGCAGATTCTTTCTGCATAAAATCTCTGAGATATGGCTTTTCCTATCCAACTGCAGTTTAAATTCTCATCCAGGCTTCTGTCTTCTCACATCTTGATCACTGTAACATCCTTTTCTCTAGCCTTGACAAATGCAGTCTTATCCTTCTGATATTTATTGAGAATGCTGCTGCAAAGATCATTTTCCTATTCTTTTGCTTTGACCATGTTGCCCCTGTTTGCATCCCTCCATTGGCTCCCTCTTCAGCATTGTATCAACTGTAAGCTACTTGTCTTCACGTTCAAGGCCCTTCGTTCCCTATCCCCACCCTACTTATTATCTTTCATTTTCTATTGAGATTCCAATTCCTACCTCCAATTGGCACATGATGCCAGTCTGCATTACCCACTTGTCAGAATTTCAAACAAGCACCTTTGTGCTTTCTCCCATACTGCCCTTCATGCTTGGGAGGAGCTCCCAATAAGCATTCTCAAAACTAACTCATTATTCTCCTTCAAAACCTTTCTCAAAACTCTACCCATGTTG